GGCGTGCTCCAGCGGCGTCTTCTTGCCTGCCGCATCCCATCCCAGGCAGCAGCACGCATCACATGATCGATTAGGCACAAATACTACTCCCTCTGTTCATTTTTATAAGGCCTTGAAGACATTTCAGACAGGGTGCAAAGTAGCTCATTTTCAGTTGTCTAAAACGACTTATAAAAGTGAACGGAGGGAGTAGCACAGTTGATTGGCAAAGTAATGTGATGCTGCGTCGATCGATGTTGGGGACGCGAGGAAGGAAGGAAGTGGATTTAGTAGTAGTGCTCACTTGGGGAGGAGTCCCACATGTTGACGTCGCCTGGGCTCCTGCTCTTGACCGACAGAAGCAGGTTGGACTCCTTCTTCCTTCTCGGCGTCTTCGCGGTGCTCCGTTTGAATTTTTTCGAATCCGTCCGCTTTGATTTGATCGTGATTAATGTTAACAACTGCTTTGCGTCTTCAACAACGACGGGGATGTAGCTCAAATGGTAGAGCGCCCGCTTTGCATGCGGGAGGCACGGGGTTCGATCCCCCGCATCTCCATAATACCATTTTTTCTCTTCTCTTTTTTCTATCTTTTTTCTCTTAGAGAAAAAAAGTATATTCTTCGTCCCTCGACTCTTAGCGAAATTTAGATCAACTTCGAAACCGGACAACTTGCGCCTCGGATTTTTCATACCGGATAAATTTCGTCCCTTGTTTCGGCTGACCCGGTTTCACTTCTTACTTGGCATGGATTCTGACTCGTCTATGCCAACAAATTAGCTTGCTCCAAGGTGCTAGCGGGGAGAGGCCGCGCGATGCCTTGGAGCAAGCTGGTGTGCCCGCGCCTCTGGGAAAGCAAAACACGGGCATGCGGGATGGCCCAAGCTTCGCCGGCGACGAGGGGCAGCGCTATGTGGGCAGCGAGCTAGATGGCACGGGGAGGCTCGAGGAGAGGGGAGAAACGACCAGGGGCTCACCTATAGCACGTACGCGTCCTCATATGTGGCGGATCAACACTGGAGCGACGACAACGAGCGGCGGGGTGAGCTCGTGGCGGGGTGGGCTTCTTGGGGAGGACGCGTGAGGCTTAGGTAGGAGCATGGAGAGCTTAGGAAGCCGACAGGGAGAACCAGAGCTTGCAGGAGGAGGAGATTGCGGCGCGGCGGCAGTCACCGGATTTGAGGAAGACGATTTGGGCATCAGCTATTTAGGTCCTCCGGCGTTGCTTCCTGTGGTGCGGTTTACTACGACGACAAGATGGAGCGCCTGCCCATGGCGAGCCGTGGAGGAGGCCTATGCGGCTATGGGCAATCCGTGATGCTCCCGTTAAGCTGCTGCATGATCCCTCCTGTCTGCACAACCACAGGGACAACCAGCCGGCACAACGACAGAAACACACGCATCACAGAACCCCTCGAGCGCTAGCTCCGCGTCATCGCCGCCGGCATCCTGCCATGCCACCACTGCGCTTGTGCAGCCGGTGCACTCTTATGTGCTTGATGAACTGCCAATTCGAGGGATAATACGAGGGAAGAAGAGATATGATGAGTAGGATAGAGAAATACTGCCACTTGGATTATGACCGGTCAAAACATGCAAGGTCAGCTCGGAAACCACTTTAGTTGTGTCGAGGGACAAAATTTGTCCGGTATTAAAAGCTGAAGGTGCAAATTGCCCGGTTTTGTTGTTGAGGGACTAAACGTAGACTTCATCAAGAATTGAGGGACGAAAAGTATACTTTTCTCTTTTGCTTATCTCTTGGGACCATTTTAATATTTTTATCTGTTTTTGTATTCAACTATATTGTAAATAAATATAACATGGTGAAGTGCGGGTGTGTGTGTGTGGGGGGGGGGGGTGGCAGTGGCCCCCTATTCAGCCCCATAGCAGGGTTGACGTTCCACAAAATTACATTATTTTGTATTTTATTTAGGCTTGGGAGATCTTCAGGTACGTTATTCTGGCGCTAACCTATTCTGCCACCGGAATAGAATGCCACCTACCAGCTCGCGCAAAAGGCACCTATCTTTTTTTTCAACCTAATGGCACGAACAATTCCCGGCTTTCATCCACTAGAATTCAACGCCACGCCTGACTCGAGCAATCCACGGTTTGGATTTCCGGTGAAGTTCCATACCACCCCCAACGGGATCGGGTTTCACTATCAACTGATAAGGGGACAAACAGAAACATCAGTAAAGAAGCGGATTATCAAGACTGGGTTTCACTACCAACTGATAGGGGACAAACAGAAACATCAGTAAAGAAGCGGATCATCAGGACCGGGTTTCACTACCAACTGATACGGGACAAACAGAAACATCCGTAAAGAAGCGGATCATCAGGACCGGGTTTCACTACCAACTGATAAGGGGACAAACAGAAACATCAGTAAAGAAGCGAATCATCAGGATCGGGTTTCATTACCAACTGATAAGGGGACAAACAGAAACATCAGTAAAAAAGCGGATCATCAGGATCGGGTTTCACTATCAAATGTCCGGTTGGTGTTGGCAGCTCCATTTGAATGTTTTTCAACTCATCGATATGTTGGTGTGATATCCATCTACTTGTCTGCCTGGATTGCCAGTGTACTCTACTGGTTCCTTCGATTACCATCTATTAACTGGGGTTAAATAACATCTCCACTTCTAAATGTTTTCGTTTTTATCTGTTGGGCATTTTTTAGGGGAGTTGGGCCTAAATTAATAGACCTGCAACACGGTGGGCACTGCTCTTCGTAGAGGGCGTCCACCTGAATGGGATCTTAGCTCCTATTCGCCGCTCGCTGCGGCAAACAAGTGCGGTTTCACACAGGTGGGTGCCCAACTGGGCCGGCCCATGAATATAGCGAGCGACAACGCGCTGTAGCATAAAAAAAATACCACCATCGCGGGAAATCGAAACAAGGACCTCACACTAAAAACACGAACTCTTTTTGAATTTGCAAGCAAATTTTGAACCATGATTTTATTTTTGAATTTTTGAACAAATTTTGAAAATGTTAACATATTTCTTAAACCGAACATTTCTTAGTTTGTGAAAAAATTTAAAAGACGGATACTTTTTGAAAATAAGCGAACAATTTTTGAATTTCTAAACTTTTATGAAATTTCCGAACAAAAATTTGAAAACAGGAACATTTCGGAAAAACCACAAAAATCTGAGAAATTCACTTTTTAAAAAAATTCCGAAAACATTAGTTGAAAATAGTAAAAAAACTCAAAAAGAAAAGAGCAAGAGGAAAGGAAAAAAGACAGAAAAAATGAAAAAGGAAAGAAAAATAAAAACAAAAGAAAAATATAAAAAGAAAAAACCATTTCAGGAACCTTCTAGAAGGTTGCCAAAACCGAAAAAACGGTTAGAAACATTCATAGAAGGTTCCCATAACCGGTATAGTTGGAATGCTTAACAGGCCGGCCCAGGCGCGACCGCTCGGTCGATAGCCCTATGCGGAGCCCTTATCCGGCGGCCCCACTTGCAGCGGCCCAAAGTTTGCTGCGTGCAGCGCGTGCCCAAAATTTTACAGCGCGCGCACAATTTTACACCCTCCGTTAGAGCTCCTCGGCGCCCAAAAAACGAATAATTTAGCGCGTGGAGCACTTTTTGGACGGCTGTTAGAGATGCTTTAAGGAATAATTTAGCGCATGGAGCATTTTTTGGCCGGCAGTTGGAGATGATTTTTCAAACCGTGACAGTGATAGGGCTCGGTCCTCAGCTAGCCGTCTCGATCATGCGACGGTACATTCATACACACACACACACGCACCGGCCTGGAAATTCGTGGCCGTGCCGGCCAGCATCTTTGACTTTGACTTGACCCATCGTGCGCACCGGCCGGTCAGCAACGTCGACCGGAATGGAATGCCGACGGCCAGTCTCTGCGTGTGCGCCGGGCAAGCGACGGCTACACTGCCGCTCCGTGCTAGTACTACATGGCTAGTAGTTCTTCTTTAACACTCACTTTGTAAGAGATGACGTAACGAGAAGACCATTGAATTTCATATTCATAATTTCATATGCGCCCCGAGTAGCGCCGGTGCTTAAAAAAACCTTATTTATTGCCCTAAGCATCTCGTTACAGTGCCTTGCATTGTACAAGGCCTACGTGTCTTATCGGCTAAGAAAATATTCACAAACCTAACATGAATTCGTAGACGTCGAGGTCCCCCTCCGTGAAAAAAGCATCGGGAACAAGAACACGCCAGCTCAAGATGAGCGAGGAAGACCAGCAACATCGGGGGATGCCATCGCCAAGATACTACGGACAGCGACACGTCGTCACATCCAACCAAATCCATCTCCGAGGAAGGCCACAACCTACTCGCCTGAATCGAAAGGCGCCGCACCGTCGCAAGATGGATAGCTTTTCCCAAGCTATGTTGAGTCCGGGCTGCTCCTCAAGGCGTGAGCATCCAGGGCGCAATGCATATCACTGATGACCCTTCCTCCATGGCTTCTCCCTGTGGTCCGGTCTTGCAACCCCACTTGACGATCCTCTAGGCGCTTGAGGTGGGAGACGTGTTGATCCCGCCTATCTTGGAGTCGTGACCACACAGGTTTCTAGGTTGGTCGTGATGCACTCTAGAGGTTGTGTATCTCATCTTTTTGTGTTTCCGGCCGGAGTTCGAGTTAGGAGAGTTTTGTGCAGTGTTGCACTCCTTTATGATCTGTGGTGCCCCTGCCTTCTCTCATGTATGTTACCGTTGTTTCTCTCCTTTTATGAATGAAATGATACACAGACTTTTTGTATTCGTGAAAAGAAAATGAAAAAGGAGGAAAAAAAATAATAGAGGTCTTGTTCATCGCAAGCGCACTCCCCTTTCATCCTTGGTAATTACATCATGTGTGGCTGCTAAGTTACAAAGGGAGCAAACGAGCATGATGTTTGTGTACACTTAAAACTAAGGCAATATTAAACGAGTTTTTACTCGCTGCTTTGCAGTTCACGCGCCTAGCCTGTCCTACAAAGCAAGGCTGTACATGCAAGAGCAGCGGCAGCCGGGAAAGTGAGCTGCATCCTATATGAGGTGGTGGCCGTCGAGGCCGGGGTGCATGGACGCCGGCGGGCCCATGAGCGGGAACGAGCACCAGGGCGCGTACATCTGCCCGGCCGCGGCCGCACTGTCCTCGACACCGCCGGGGCGCATGGGCACGGGCTGCGTCGGCGCGCGCGGCAGCAGCTGCTGCTGGCCGTGCTGGTGCTGCCTGGCCATGGCCGCGGCGGGCGCGCCGGTGAGCCTCTGCACGAGGTCGCGGAACTCCCGGGGCTCCACGCGGTACACCTTGGGCGGCGTCGGCGCCGGCGTCAGGCCCCCGCCCGCGCGCCACGGCTTGGCCGGCGGCTTATGGACGGCCCTCAGCGCCGCCTCGTGGCCGGGCACGGACACGGACGGCCTCCTCATCTCGTGCCCATGGTGCAGCAGATGATCCATCGACGTCCCTGCTCGTGCTCGGTCGATCAAGTCGATCCTCGGCGCTTGCTTGAATGAATGATCGGTCAAGAAGTCTATTGCAGGCGCAGCGAGCGACAGGAAGAAGAAGCAGAGCGAAGCAGGGCAGAGCAGAGTATATGGAGCATGGAGATGAGACCCGGGGCATGGGAGGTATATATAGCGGGCGCGTGGGCGTGCGCGAGGGGGTGAGACCGTGAGAGGCTTCTACTAGAGAAGACGGCGGAAGCAAGCGGGAGGCGGACTGCCCGCGTGGCCGGGGTGGCGGCGCCGGCGACGCAACACGTGGATGGGGACGGGCGGTCAATCGCGGCGCCCGACTGCCAAGCAGCCATCGGCCGGCCGGCCCGCCATGTATGCCATGCCTCTGGGCAGAGTTATTTTATTGCCGAGTTTTCGTGACTTGCGGAGCTCAGCGTCAGCTGCTTGTTGGAGGCATCGGCGAGGGCGCAACACCTGCGCCTTCCTAGTTTGGACCGACGCTACCGACCTAGGGTGCCGAGGTTGGTGGCATCGACGGCTGGCTGGCTGGCCGCCTGGCTTATCCGGCGTGCTGCATCACCACCATCCTCTAGATCGATCCACCTCTTCGACTTCTTGTTCCTATCTAAAATACGCCTACGTATCTGCAGCCAGAACTGACACGTACGTACGTACGGATCACCATATAATCCTAGCATGTTCATCCACCCACCACAAATGGATCCCTTGAATCGATGAGAATCAAGACTATAGATGAGTTACATGAACGTATACGGACTTGTTAACTATACTTAGACTTGTTTATGTCTCAATCAATACTATATTCGTAAGATCTCAGAGTGCAGCTAGATTCTGCAAATCCCGGGCACGCCACAGACGCATTCGGACGGCCCCTCATATCTCGTGTCCGGCATCCACATATCTCAAATCCAAACTCTTAAATCCTTGCAAATTCATGCACGCCCATTATAAACGTCTATCTCGCACATAAACAACAAATGTTGGTAAAAAAATACAGTTTTGATAGAACTCATCTAGATGAGATATAATTTGGTCTCACATCTACACGAGGTGGCTGTTGACATCGTCGGCTGCCTTGCCATTGCCAATGCCAATCCTATATATCCGGCGGCCTCACATCACATGCGTCATCGTCGCCACCTAGATCAATCTCGTCTTCTTCAATTCAGAAAGATCCATCTCTTCTTCTTGTTTCCTTTTGCTTGCCGCCTCCCACTGGGGTTTGATGCCCGCTGGTTTTATGTCTTCTGGTTACGGTTAGCCTAGTCGCAGATGTTGTTTAACTTGCCTCATCCTGGGATTTCCTCTCCTGTCGTTTTTGGGCTGCGGTTTGTGAGTGTCATCAGGTTTTCGTCCCATGGCGGGTGGTCCGTTCCAGGATCATCCTGCGGTGGGTTTCCTGATGGTGCGCCAGCTCGCTCTCCCCTTTCAGCTTCATTTGATCTCAAAAAGCTTATATCTTTTATCCTGTTAGTTATAGTGGTTTGGGCACTAAGAACATCTGGATACAGACTGATGTATTTCCGTTGATTGCGAAATTAATGAAAAGGGGTTGAGAGCCCGGTTGGAAAAAAATCTATCTATGTATCTGCAACGAGTCCAGCTCTCGTTTTCTATCCATCAGCATGCAAGGGGTACGAATGGGACAGTAAACTACTCCAACGTACGTACACAGCGAGTACGTACGTCTCTCTGAGTCACTTATTTTCTACTTGACTGGCGTCCTGCGTGCTATGCTGAGTCCGGTGACCAGGACGACTACGACCGTGTCCAAGCAAGCAAGAGAAGAGAGCGTGCACTGGGGGCTGCCCGCCACCACGTATTACGTCAGTCAAACTTGTACGCACGAACGACAGGAGAGATTCAATCGGAATATATATACACTTAAGTTCTCCCACGGTCCCAGTCCTCGGTCCTCCCTCCTGTGATGAGACTTGGACTTGTGGAGCTGATGCCAATTTCTTACTAGTAAGTAATAATTATATACTACCTCTGTTCCTAAATATTTGTCTTTCTAGAGACTTCAACAAGTAATTATATACGAAACAAATTGAGTGAATCTATATTCTAAAATATGTCTATATACATCAGTATGTGGTAATCCATTTAAAATCTCTAAAAGAACAAATATTTAGGAACAGAGGGAAAATATAAGTTAGATATAAACGATGAACATCATTCTATTTTCTTCAGATGAGTGTTTTCCGTTCATCATCATGATCGCCGCCACCGTCTACCCGGAGCTCCCCTTCGTTGGTACTCTCTCTGTAAATAAATATAAAAGTGTTCATATCACTATTTTAATGATCTAAACGCTCTCATATTTCTTTGTGGAGCGAGTACTGTTCAACCGAAGGCATTCACCTCGCCGCCGCAGCCGACGGCCCGACGACGGGCGCCCGTCAACCATCATCCCCCTCGTCATCTTCTTTTTTTCTCCATCAAACCGTACGGTCCCCTTTTCCAAGTCAACCAATTAGCCAAACAAAGCATCTTTCTGACCGAACCAAGTCGTCGGCGGCAGTCCACTCGCAGTCTGTAATGATCGTCCACGTCACCTATTGATAGCAGTAAAAACATCATCTACAATACCGCTTGGAATAAGTGGTTAGCTATCTGAAAAACAATCAACAACTAAAAAATAATAATAAAAAACATCATCCACAATAGTCTGCATTTTTGCTATCTGTAGCACGTCGATCGTTCGTGGGTAGGTCGCTGCATGCGAACCTCCATCCTTCGTTGTGCTTCTTGGCCGAAAGGTGCGCATACTGTGGCTAGGTTTGATTTGGTGTTTAAAACAAGCCTTTCACCTCCGGTCGCGCTTCTGTCTCCCACCTTTGGTTGGTTGTTCTGGTGCCGGGAGGCGAGCGCCGCGCAAGAGAATGCACATCTATGTGTTGGTTGTGTTGTGTTGGTTTTGATGTCATGCCTTTAGAATTTTACGTCCGGCATGATGTTGCTATACATGACGGTGAAAAGCGGCAACACAACAAATAAGAGTCGTCTGGGTCCGAACCATCCGTTGTGGGAGCAGCAACCACATAGTGCAATGATTTTGTTCCTTCTCTTACCATGGACCAAGTAGCTGTGGCGACGGCACTATGTTCCGTCCGAAGAAGTGATGAAGATGAGGAGTGTTGAATCGATCAATTTTTATTTTATTTTTTTTGTCTATGACGACGACGAAAATTATGAAATATACACCAAGTTTTTTGTAATTATGTTCCAATTTCTTTCTTTAGCACATGGGAGAGGTGGATAGGATTGGATAGGAGGATCTTACCAACACAACACACTACCTGCGTCAGTCAGTTAATCAGTTTGTTTGTTGCTTCTGCCTGATTGATTGATTTGTTTCGGACAAGACGACACCTCCTCACCTCTGCCTGCTGCTGCCGGAAGCTCCTCCCCCAGCCGGGTGCAAGCTGAAGCAAATCCAAGCAGCGCCGATCATCCAAAGGTCTCCAACTCATCCTTCTCCATGAACTAATTCAGGAGCGTGTATCCCCTCGATTAATTCCCGGAGATTGAAACCATCCTTATTATCAGCAGTACATATCTTCCTTCCTTATTCTTAGGCACTGTATAACTATAGTATTTATGACTTTCCTCTTTTGTTTTACAGTATTTTATTACTACTGTCGATTGTGTTCTTGGCTGGGTACATAGTAAAAGACTGCAGCGAATTGATCTTCTTTATGCGTTTCGTTCCCTGCGTGCCAAGGAAGGCATCAAATCTCCATCCCCCTCCTCATCCTTGGCCAGTTACAATTACAAAACATTTCCCTCAGAATCGTCGCCGTTGCCGCCTCTTTCCTTCCTTCCTTTCTTCCTCCGGCTAAGATTTGATTTGATCGACTAGTGGTAACCGCCGCCACCCGTATGCATCCCCACTTCATTCCGAATTGAATTTTAGTTACATGTTTGATCGATCCATCCATCCATCCATCCATCCATCCACAACAATTTTGGTGATGCACCGGCGGGGGAGGACGCCGAGGAAGGTGACCTTTGGTCGGTAGTTTTGGTGATGGAAGGCAAGCGCAATAGAATGTACATCCATGTGTTGCTTGTGCTGGTTTTGATACCATGCCCTTAGAATTTTATATGTCCGGCAATGGTGTCGCGATATACGGCAGTGAAAGCGACAACACAATAACGGAGTGCGACGATTTTGTTCCTTGTCTCGTTATGGATCAAGTAGCTAGCGATGGCAACGACACTATGCTCCATCGGAAGAACGGTGAAGAAGAGGACCGTTGAGTCGACCGTGACTGTGGCGAGAACATAACCCTATCAATTTTTATTCTTTTGGCTATGACGATGAAAATTACGGAACATACACCAACATTTTTGAAATGTTAGCACTTTTTTTTTGGCAATGCTGGGGAAATCATGGTTTAGCAAAAGCACGGAAAAAAACTTGCATCGAAAAGGGAAACCGCCAGCCAACAGGAGGATGCTCCCTCCCTCCGGTGGCTCTCTGCTCTCCCCTGCCTCCTAGTACTATCTTGTGTTCTCCTCCCTCCAATTTTCCAATTTCTTTAGCACATCGGAGAGGTGGATCGGATCATAGGCAGGAGGATCTTACCAACACAACACCTGCGTCAGTTAATCAGTTTGCTTGATTGATTGATCTGGGTTGGACAAGAGCAAGACGACACCACCTCACCTCCGCCTGCTGCAACCCGATCGAAGCTCCCCCACCTGTGCAAGCTGAAGCAAATCCAACCAGCGTCGATCATCCATCCAAAGGTCTCGACCTTAACCTTCTCCATCAACTACTAATTCAGATTCAGGGGTGTGTGCATCCCCTCGATTAATTCCGGGAGATTGAAACCTTAATCACCAGCAGTATCTTCCTTATTCTTAGGCAGTGTATAACTACTCCCTCCGTTTGGAATTACTCGTCGAAGAAATGAATGTATCTGGATGTATTTTAGTTGTAGATACATCCATTTTTGTGACAAGCAATTCCGAACGGAATTTTCCTCTTTTGTTCAACAGTATTTTATTAGTAGTGTAGTATTTCTGTCGATTGTGTTCTTGGCTGGGTGCAGCGAATTGATCTTCTTCTTTATGCGTTTCGTTTCCTGCGTGCCCTCCTTGTCAAGGAAGGCATCAAAATCCCCCTCCTCCTTGGCCAGTTACAGTTACAAAACATTTCCCTCACAATCCTCGCCCCTCGCCGGCTCTTCCCTTTCTTCCTCCGGCCAAGATTTGATTTGATCCAGTAGCGGTAACCGCCGCTGCTGCCCGTACCCATCCCCACTTCATTCCGAATTGAATTTTAGCTACATGTTTGATCCATCCATCCATCCATCCACCACGGTCTGAAGAATCTCTGCTTTTTTTGTTTCGTTTCTCTTCTCGATCAGGGCGGCATGCCGGGAGGAGGAGGAGGAGGAGCAGCGGTCGTCGTGGTGGGGGAAGGCAAGGACGGGCACGCGGCGCCGGCGAGGGCGGCGCCCAGGAGCTTCCCGCCGAAGCTCCTCAGGCCGGCGCTGCTCTCCGCGGTGCTCGCCACGGCCTTCCTCGCCGCCGCCCTGCTCATCTTCTTCGGCGGCGCCTCCTCCTACTACCGCCTCCCGAGGCTCGCCGTGCCGGACGCCCTGCTCCCCGCGCCACCGGCGTGCGACCACCAGAAGCAGGGCGGGGCGGCGGGGCGGTGGTGGGCGCGGCCGCCGGCCAGGAGCGCGTGGCACAACATGAGCGACGAGGAGCTGCTCTGGGCGGCGTCGTTCGAGCCGCGCGCGCAGCCGCACCGGCGGGGGAAGACGCCCAGGAAGGTGGCCTTCTTGTTCCTCACCCGCGGCCCGCTGCCGCTGGCGCCGCTCTGGGAGCGCTTCTTCAACGGCACCGGCACCGGGGGCGCGAAAGGAGGCAGGGAGCTCTTCTCCGTGTACGTGCACACCACGCCGGGGTACCGCCTCGACGTCCCGCCGTCGTCGCCGTTCCACCGCCGGCAGGTGCCCAGCAAGGTACGCACGCCACGCCACGGCACCTTCCTTTCCGGCAGTTGCCATCAAGTTTCGCCTCTTTCGCCGTCGGCCGTTTGGATGGTTCCTCCGGCCACCGTCCGATCAGCATCGCGCGGCCCGGATCACGAGATCCAAGCGTGCGACGTGGCCTCTTTGGTCCTCTCTGGTTTCAACGACGACACCTAGACAAATGACGAGTGTGACACGATCGATCACGACTTCACGAGTGGAGAAAGAGACGCTGAAAGTGATGACCATCATGGCACGGCATGGCCTCATGGAGGAGCAGTACTCAAAAGTCTTCTCTTATCAATCAAAGATGCCATGGCCAATAATCTTCTTCCTTCATGAAAAAAATAAATATCTTCTTCACATGACTTTCTACAACCTGGATTTTTGATTCTGGTAGTAATAAAGCTAGCATTCTCACCACCACTATAATCTCTACTGTATCCCCAATTGACTTTCCACAATGTGCATTCCGATTTTCTTATTTCGAAATGCAAAAAAGATGTAATTCATTTTTGGTGCATTGTTGCAGCCGACGCGGTGGGGCAACGTGAATGTCGTGGACGCGGAGCGGCGGCTGCTGGCCAACGCGCTCCTCGACCTCAGCAACGAGCGCTTCGTGCTCGTCTCCGAGTCCTGCATCCCGCTCTACCCGCTCCCGGTGGTGCATGCCTACCTGACCCGCTCTCGGCACAGCTTCGTCGGCGCCTTCGATGACCCGAGCCCGCACGGCCGGGGCCGGTACCGCGTCGGGCTGGCCCCGGACGTGACTCTCTCCCAGTGGCGCAAGGGCGCGCAGTGGTTCGAGATGGACCGGCGCCTCGCCGTGTTCGTGATTGCCGACGAGCGGTACTACCCACGTTTTCGGACCGAGTGTCGGGCACCGTGCTATGTGGACGAGCACTACCTTCCCACCGTGCTCTCCATCGAGGCTCCGGAGCGCATCGCCAACCGGAGCATCACCTTGGTCGACTGGTCCCGCGGCGGCGCGCACCCGGCCACCTTCGGTGCCGCCGACGTGACTGAGGACTTCCTGGGGACGCTGGTGGGGAAGAAGGGGAATGCTGAGCGGTGCATGTACAACGGGCAGCCGGTCGAGGTGTGCTTCCTCTTTGCGAGGAAGTTCGCCCCTGCCGCTTTGCCGCAGTTGCTCAGCCTTTCCTCCAAGATCCTTGGGTACTAGCTATGCCTTTTACTAAATCGATTTTGGTCTTTTTATGTATAGCTCATACTCACTGGAGTGGAATAGAGGAATACAATTCTTTTTTTCATGTGTCACAAAGAACAAAAGGATGAATGATCGAGTGGGTGGTTTTTCTTGACCATTCATATTTCTGATTCCTTAGGGCTCCTTTGATTCAAAGGAATTTCATAGAATTTCTGAAGGATTGAAATTCTTAGGATTTTTTTCTATGTTGGCCATTTGAATCATAGGATTGGATCGCATAGGAGTCTTTCCTACGAAAATATTTTGTACTACATTTCATAGAAAATCTAACATCTACTCGAACCTCTTTTTACAATTCCTTCGTTTTTATTGTGGCATCAAACACTCATTGCTAATCTTATAGGATTCAAGTGGGCATTGCCACTCTAAACCTATACTTTTACTACTCCTACGTTTTCAAAATTCTACGAATCAAAGAGGCCCTTAGAGTTTCCTTTTTGAATCAATACCTTAGAGCACATATCTATATCTATATCTATACATACTACTAAAGGGAATGAGTATTCTTGGTCCGTCACATATATTTGCTGAAAAGTCCCTATACCTTTTAAGAATTAACTCGCGATCTAGGAAAACAAATCATTCCCGAAGTTTGTCTGCCCACGGGTGGGCTACACGCTCAGCTTCTTCACATGGGCCAAATTGGGCCGCCTTTGCTATTGTTTTGTCAACAGCAAGCAGCGAAAAATATGTATACTTATGAAAGGTTCGAACTCCAGACCTCAACTTTAACCCAATAGTACCAACCAACTCACCTAGCCTATGATTTATGCCAAAAGCAAGGTCGTTTCCTAATTTAATAGTCTCACCTTGCTGTTTTGTGCCAAATTTCACCCATTTTTATATCTCCATGAATTGCCTAGAAAATAAGCAAGCCGCCCAAAAATAAAGTCTGTAAAATGTGTCTTTGCCTGCACTTTAAAGAGAGACCAAGTAAAGGAAGGGGGCATTATGCTAATTTAAGTGTCGGCACAAAGCAAAGGAATGAGCGCTCCGGGTTTATTAGGCCCCCTTTTATTTTGCACCAAAGTTTGCCCATGAATTTGAACTTATTAAATATGTATTATATTTCATAATAATTATACCATGGAAAACCTCTCCGAAATACAAATCCATCAATCTAGTTTTTATAGCATATCATTTATATATTTTTAGTCAAATAGATGGTTAAATTTGGGCCCAAAATATAAGGGGTCTAATAAACCCGGATGGAGGGAGTACTAATTTGAATGACGTGATTGTGGGTTGCATTGTTCCTAATCTAAAAGACTCGTGGAATGGCGCTTATTTATTATGGCCTTGAAACACAGGAATTAAATCTGGAAATAAAGGTAATTGTGGGCAACAAAGGCATTATATCTCCCGTGAGCTAGGAAAATAAAATTGTAGTTATCCTTACGACCCTATATATAGAAAAGTTGAAGTTTAGGACACGCGCGGTTTTTCTTTTTGAGCAAGATGAGCAGGGTATTTAACAAAGGACACTAATGGGCGCCAATCCTATCCGCGGACCTCCTATTTAAGCGTCGCAGAAGCGAACTGGCACTCACACGCAACACCTAGTGGGCCGGTCCATGAACGCTCATCGCACCGAAGTATTGTAGCGCGAAAACCCATAAAAACTGTCTGTCACGGGGAATCGAACTAAGGTCGCAACATTCCTGAAAGAGGTTGGCTACCACCGTACCATCTCTGCTAGTGACTAAGTGCAACGTGCATGCTTTAATAACATTTTTAGGCATGCTATTTGAATCAAACTCGCATATTCAAAAAAAATTATTAAAATTTTAAAAAAGTTCACTAATTTAAGCAAAAGTACAATAATTAAAAAATTTATAGTGAGTTTTAAAAAAGTTCATCGATTTTGAAAAGTTATAGTGAGTTTGGAAAAAGGCCCTCAATTTTGGAAAAAAACTCCATCTATTTTTCAAAAAATCACACATTTCGAAAAAGTTCATCAATTTGAAAAGAAGTTCACAACATTGAAAAAAGTTTAAGATTTTGAAAAGACTCATTTGTTTTGACAAAAGTTCATAAATGTTGGAAAAAAGTCCATCCATTTTGAAAAAAGTTTACCAATTTTGAAAAATGTTCATTGATTTTGAAAACAATCATCGGTTTTAAAACAATCGGCCAATAGAATATTTTCCATCGATTTAGGAAAAAAGTTCACAAAAAACTAGAAAAGTTCATCACTTTTAAAAAAAAGTTCATCCAATTTGATAACAATTATGCAATTTAGAAATTTCTTAATGAACTTGAATAATAATTCATTAATTTTGAAAAAAGCTTACAAATTTGAAAACTAAACCTCTTATTAAAGGAAACATAAAAATGAAAAACAAAAACAAATAAAAAATGTCCATAAAATGAACAGCGAGCCCGAAAAAACCCTGTGAACTGAAGAAAGAAAGAAAAAAAAGAGAAAAAAAAGAAAATGTACATGAGAGGGTAAGATAGCCTAGTGGTTGCTGCAGTACCCTTAGAAAATAGAGCTTGTGAGTTCGAACCCGACGATCGCACCAGTTTTGATTTTTAAAAGAGGGTAAAAAGAAGGTATATGGGCGGCCCAAAGCGGAGCGACGGTGTACGCAATAGGAATAGGAATAGGAATTGCCCCTATTCGGTGCCTATGGTTACACGCAAATTTGCAAACCGGCGCACACCCTGTTTCCTGCTATTGTTTCTCTTGGCCTGGGCCATATATGAACAAACGTTTCTGAGAAGCTCCCAACAGGTTTAGGGAAGCCTCTTAGTTTTGGTTTTTAGGCCTGGTTTTTGTCCAGTTTTTCATTCTTTTCTTTTCTTTATTTGTTTTTCTTTTCTTTTTTATTTCATATTCAAATGCATTAAAAATTCCCAATTTGTGGACTTCTCATTTTTGTGAACTTTTATTGATTTAGATTAATATTTTCCTCAAAATCAATAAAAAAATATTCAAACTTGTCAATTTTTTCTCAAATTCATGAATTTTCTTCCAAATTATATTTTTTTAAATACCGATGAACTTTTTTTGAACTTCTGAACTATTTTTCAAAATCAATGATTTTTTAAATTAGTGTTCTTCTTTCAAAATTTGATGAAATTAATTTTTAAAATTGATTATTTTTTCAAATCCTCAATTTTCCTAAATCCATGGAATTTTGTAAAATTTGAGATTTTCTCGGAATTTATTTTTGATTTTGCTAACTTTTTTTTAGATTTTTTGCTTTTTGTAAAGTCAACGGTTGGCCGGTCAAGTAGTGAACCATGGCGCATGAGTTGTTTGTTTGATTTTTAGGCAAGTCAGTGATTTTTAGTTTTTTTTGGCGGTAGCGATCGTTTTTCTTTTCTTTTTTGCGATTGTTCGGTGAGCGCGCGAGCTGTCCAGCACGCTGGTGATCGTGTGAGCGCCGGATCGTTAATTGGCGGAAAGAGCGCCAATTAGGAGCTCCCTCTTGCTTGCCAGCCTGTTTTGTTGGAGTTGATCAGGTTGAGTCAAATCCATTCTTTCTTTTTCCTCAGAATGAGGTTGATTGCCACTGATGACTTGAATGCATTTTCTTTTCTTTTCTTTTCCTTAGTCGAAAAATACGTCTTTAGTTTTTTCTTGACTGAATAAAAGATGCTTTGTTATTTTGAAGGGTTGACTCGGAAAAGAGAAACATTTGGTGGGAGCACCCTAGGGCGGAGGGAGACGAAGAATTAAACATCCAAGGTCATTTTTTCTGTTAAATTCTCGTCCGTTTGTCCGCGTGGCAATCCAGGCCTACGTGGCTCAGCCAATCCTGCCGGTAACAACTTACTAAGAATTGTTTGCAATAATAATAATAATTAGGACTCCGTTTTGCATTACAGAACTTTTACTTATGTGACAGGATTGAGAATGCATGAATTGATCTATTGAGTTGGTAGCTTATGCTTGACCTTGCAAGTTTGATTGATCACCAAAATGGTGCGCGACTAGGTTATGCCAGGTGGCGGACCTTGTCTTTCATGGAGTGTGATTATTGAGTTATGTGTTCTACAAACCATATTCAAATTGCTTGTCATCATTAATATTCAGGATTACTTTAACTGTTTAGAGATTACCTGATTTGTGGAATCATACACACATTTTTGTGGAAAGGAATTATTATTTTCTTGAATATACTTAGGTTTTCCATGATTAAGGAAGTTGTGTCGATTATCATTGCAATAGAATATACTTTGTATCTATATTGGCAATCGAAAGAAACTAGATAATATATTAGGTTACAACACTAATAACGACACAAGAGATTAGACGAAATTAGGCATGGTCATGACGTATTGCTCACATGTGTGTGTTTAAGGGACTGCAGTTAGAATGCTTTCAAAGATGAACTATATCATGGTTGTGGTTTTATCTGGACTTTATCTGAAAACTAGTTCTTATATGTATAAGAGATGAACTCTTTGAAAAAACCGGTCTAACAAGATGATCCTTTAAAAATGACCATCCCCATAAATACTTTGTATTATTTCATTTTAATGAATAGATAACGATGTTGCTATGTTAACCCCTAAAAATATCAGTAATCAACATCATTTGCCTCCTTAGTTCGGTGGCCTTTATCCTTACCCTTTTTACGGTAAAAAACATCCAATCTATTCATCTTCAATCATGAGAGTACAATGAACATAAAAAATAATGAAAATTTCATCCAGATCCATAGACCACCCAGCGATACCTTGCCGGCGGTGACAGCAACCTCTGTCTCCATCTCCATGCCGTGCTCCGGTGCTTCAGTAGCGCCGGCGTCGCCACTCCCTCCGATGGGGCGCTTCAGCGGCATCCTCATACACTAACGGCTTTGAGGACTGAGAGCGGCGTCGAGGATGCAAGCGGAGAGAGAGGATTGTGTGCGTGGCAAGGATGGGGGGTGATGGAGTCCTGGATTAAGGGGTCCTCGAACGGCCGGACTATGTAGCATGGGCCGGACTGTTGGGCCGTG